AGTCATTCAAATCGGCCATCCGGACGTCGCCGTTTCCTCTCACTCTGGATCAGATTTATCCTCTTCTCATGAGTGAGGAAATCAATCTCGCACCGGATGCAGCAAAGTTCTCTGCCGCCCCCGATCCACACACGGCTCTGTTCACCAGTCGCGGTAGAGGACGACGAACTCGTGGCAAGAACTACTACGGGGCCCCCAACATTCCCCGAACAAACTCAAATGCCGCCGTGTCGTGTCAAATTTGTTCCAAAAAGGGACATACCGCTCAAAGCTGCTGGCATCGCCTTGACTTAAACTACACCCCTCAGGTCAAGAATCCCGCCACCGCCCTGATGGCGTCCTCTGACTCGTCCGAAGCAGCCTGGTTTTTGGATTCGGGCGCCTCCACGCACCTGACCAACTCGTTGGACAATCTTTCTTTGTCTAAACCTTACAACGGTCCAGACAATGTCACCATTGGAGACGGAACCTCTGTGGGCATCGCTCACGCTGGGGCGGGAATCCTCCCGACCCCATCTCGTAAGCTAAAATTATCTCAAATCCTTCACACTCCCACTCTTAAATATAATCTTCTCTCTATTTCTCAACTTACCAAGGATAATTTTATTTCCATTACATTTGATCCGCGCGGTTTTGTCTTGAAGGATTTAGCGACGCAGGAAACTCTTCTTCAAGGGCCGGTTAAAGACGGGCTCTACGCTGTTCCTCTGGCTTCGAAAATCCGGCAACACACTGCTCTCACGACACAAAAAGCTACAGATACAGTTTGGCACCAACGTTTGGGCCATCCGCATAATCGTGTTTTCAATTCTCTTTCTTCTTGTAATCAGTTACTCAAAATGAATAAAACGCATAATACTTGTGAATCTTGCACTGCGGCAAAATGCCATAAACTTGTTTTTCAGCACTCTGTTAATAGGCAGCTGCACCCTCTCGACTTGATCCACAGCGACGTATGGGGTCCGGCCCCTACCACTTCCAATCAAGGATTTAGGTTCTATGTGATCTTTGTTGATGACCACACTCGGTATACCTGGATATACCCGCTTAAATTCAAATCTGATGTTTTTTCTGTGTTTGTTAATTTTAAGACTCAGATTGAAAATTTTACCGAGCGTCGCATCAAAACGCTCAGAACTGATGGGGGAACTGAATTCGTCAATTCATCGTTCCAAAATTACCTTCTCAAGCACGGCATTTCGCACCAACTTTCATGCCCATATACACCGGAGCAAAACGGCTTAGCGGAGAGAAAGCATAGGCACATCATCGAAACTACTCGTGCTCTGCTCCTCACGGCATCCATGCCCCACACTTTCTGGGCCGAGGCGGTCACCACCGCAGTTTATCTTATAAACAGGTTACCCTCCTTCACAACCCACAACAATACTCCGTTAGAACTTATGTACAACAGGAAGCCGGTGTATGAGGCACTTAAAGTTTTTGGGTGCAAGTGTTATCCCTTGCTCCCACATCAACTTCGGAATAAGCTCGAACCCACTGCTCGACCGTGCGTATTCATCGGCTACTCTGACGTCTACAAAGGCTACAAGTGCCTCAATCCTCAAACCAACAAAGTAACGGTATCTCGTAACGTTATCTTTTACGAACACATGTTTCCCTTTGCTATAACCTCTGTCAACGATTCCTGCAATCAATCGGGCATCTGCCCGCAACTTCTAATTCCTTATTCTATGAGTGTGCCTCAGTCGGCCAAACAGGATCTTAATTCAAGAGCATCTGTGAACGTTGACTCCATCCACACTACCACTGATTCTCAGCTCCATACCATTCCTCCCCAAGTGGTTACACAGCAACGCGACAACAACATTGGCACATGCTCGGCTCCAGTACATAACATGGTGACCAGAAGCAAAACCGGCTCTCTAAGACCCACAAACCGAATGAACCTCCTGCACGTCTCGTCTACAGCCTCCGACCAACGTGATCCCACTACGTACCTCGAGGCATCCAAGAACCAACACTGGCGGCATGCTATGGCCGAAGAAATCCTCGCACTTCAGAAACAAGCAACCTGGACGCTAGTTGCACCACCGGCAAATGCATCTATACTCGGTTCTAAATGGACATACAAAACGAAATATCATACAGATGGCTCGGTCGCCAAATACAAAGCACGTTTAGTCGCTCAAGGCAACCATCAGGAATTCGGTATCGACTACGTAGAGACGTTCAGCCCGGTGGTTAAACTACCTACCATTCGAATTCTGCTCACAATTGCCCTGTACAACAACTGGCCGGTTCAACAACTCGGCGTCGCCAACGCTTTCTTACACGGCACCCTCACAGAAACGGTATACATGACTCAACCCAAAGGATTCGAGGATCAGTCCAGGTTGGATCACGTTTGCAAGTTAAACAAAGCCATCTACGGACTAAAACAGGCACCCCGTCAATGGTACAACACATTCACGTCCTTCCTTGTTCGTCTCGGGTTTGTGCACAGCTCGGCTGATCCCTCGCTGCTCATATACCGGAAAGATCACATTCAGCTTTTTCTCTTGGTATACGTTGATGATATACTCATCACGGGCAACGACTCAACTCAACTCCAAACCGTTCTCTCCAAACTAAACTCGGAATTTTCCATGAAACATCTTGGCAATGTGCATGAGTTCTTGGGTATAAAGATTCATAAATCTAATGACTTCTATTTCCTGTCTCAGGCCAAATACGCTCACGGGATTCTGATGCAATCCGAAATGCAGCATTGCAACAAGCTGGCGAACCCGACCTGCACTAAAATGCCGAGTGACATCCCTCCGGACCCTGTCCTCAATGACTCGGCTCGGTACAGGAGTATCACTGGATCACTTCAATACCTAACTCTTACCCGACCGGATATCTCATTCAGTGTCAATCTTCTTTCCCAACATATGCACGATCCCCGTCCAATGCATTTCTATCTTCTCAAACGCTTATTAAGATACATTCAAGGTACGCTACACTACGGTCTGCCAATAACAAAAACTAACTTAATTCTTAAATCTTTTTCAGATGCCGATTGGGCGGGCGACCCGTTAACAAGGAAATCAACATCCGGCTACTGTTCGTTCCTAGGCGATTCCCTCATCTCGTGGACGGTCAGGAAGCAACGAACGGTCTCCCGATCTTCCACCGAGTCCGAGTACAGAGCTCTCGCCGAACTCACCACGGATATCGTCTGGCTTCGCAGACTGCTAAATGAATTCGGAGTCTCGCAAAGCTATCCAACGAATCTATATTGTGACAACATGTCCGCCATTGCTCTCGCCAACAACCCCGTGTTTCACTCTCGTACGAAACACATTGAAATTGATCAAAAGTTTCTAAGGGATCATATTCAGCTCAACAACATTCGGCTTCATCCCATCAGCACAGTTGATCAAGTTGCAGATATCTTCACCAAATCCCTTTCCACCCCTAGGTTCACTGCTCTTCGCGACAAATTGACGGTCAAAATAGACCCATCAATTTGAGGGGAGATATTAGAACAGAAACATATATATATATATCATATTAGTCTTTAGGTATTTCTGTAAATATGTAATTCTTTGCTCTGGCTCTTTAGCCGTATCCTTAGCTGAGTTCTGTCTTATATATACTAGACAATTGTGTATACGAAGGATAACATAATATACTTTCTCTTTCTTATCTCTTCTCTGTCTCTACGCTTTCTCTTCTACAAAAAGGCTACTTACCTGAAATCTTTTAAACTACATAATGAGTAAATAACCTAGGAAGTAACTAAAATCTTATAACTAAAAGATCAGTGCTAAAGCACTCAACTTCAAAATTTTCATATTTTTTAAATAAATTTATTTCACATATTTGAGTTATTATAGAAACACTCAAGTTCAATCAACAATTCAAAAAGTCATATTTTTCATTTAAAATATTTTTCATATCTTTGGGTTATTACAACCGGGGCGCTAGTTCATCTCTCAAATTCCTGAGACTACAATGATGGGGCGTTAGAAAACATAGCACCAGACACTCTAGAAAAAAAATTCAGATTTCACAAACAAGTATTTAGATATTTGGAACATACTTCAGAACACATGCATATCGTGTTCATGCATATATGTTATTCTCAAATACATGCAAGATAGTTCAAATGCAGATATTCAACAGGCTACCTAACTTATAGTTGCGTTAGGCCGATTTGAGTAGTACTTTGATCCCGGAGGTCTCATAATATACCACTTTTAATCGCATGTATGTATGATCCATATATCATATATAAGATGAAGATTGTATGTATGATCAGTGATATTTAATGGATTGTTGTCTCTAATTTAATCAATTTTACCATCTTTATCATTGCATCCTGCCTATCACGTATTCAAGCAATTTAAATATTAGTAAATCCAATAATGTTTGTTATCATAAAAATAAGCCCACATGCTCATAAGGTTAACAACTGTTTAATGGTGATATTACAGTAGCAATTGGCAGCGAAGTCTTAAATCAGTTAACATAATATACTATTTTCAAACTCTTGTTATCACAAATACAACATACTTAATTGATAAAAAAATCAGTTGGTTGCATTATCTTGAAAAAAAGGGAAGCTTTAGGGATTAAAATTATTAATAGTATTTTATCATAAAAAATTAAGAGTGATGTACACACATATCATAAAAATTATTATGTACATATAACCAACACTTAAATTTTTATATATATTTTTTTACCTCTCTACTCTCTATATCACATCCATAAAATTATTAACATTAACCTATTTAAAATAAAACACACTTTTTCATATTTATATTTTAATATGATTTAAACACTAACATAAATGTTATACGTTAGATGTGTAAATATATAATAATTATTTGTTATATATTTAAATACTAAAAAATTAAGCACCATATCAATTTGTTTAAGGTAAGGAAAAATTGTCATATTTTACATAATTTTTTAACTTTTCAAGTTTTTTTTTTAATATTAAATGATATTGGATCTTTGAGTAGCAAAAACTTTACTTAATTTGTTGTTTGTATGTGAGCGTCAAGACAAGTATTTTCTCCCTCTCCCTCTTCAAAGAAGGAACCTTTCAGGGATAGCTTGTCTTCGAGCTCAAGGACATCGCCTCGGAGCCTGCCCATGTTGCATCATATTGGGACAAAATTTGAGACCTTGTGAGCTCTAGGAGCTAAGGAATGAGCCTGAAGATTCTAGAGGTTCATGAAGATTGGGGAGGAAGGATTTGTGGGAGTTTATTGCAGATGGCAGGGGAAGAAGGATTTCCATGGTTTTCAAGATGCTCAATCATCGTGTTTTGCAGGGTTAGTTCTCTCTTCGCCTCTTTTTTTTTTTCCTTTTATTTTGATAGAAATGAGCCGATTTGTGATTCCAATTGGTAGTATTGTGAAGTTGATTTGGATTTAGCTTTGCTTTCAACTTTTTTGGGTCGTTAATTGCCCTTTGTTTACAAAAACAAGGGGATGAAAAGCATTGGGATGCTTTTTATATTTTAGCTTCCGGGAATGGAAGTTGGGCGAAAACACCACTCCCGAGTCAGTAGGAAGGGAGTTGTAAATCAAGCAATCGTCTTTGCTAAAACTTTATTTGATCTGTCTGATGGCACCATGTATGTCTTGGATACAAGCCATTCAACACCACCTGAAAGTTTTCCTCGCTTAAATCTGGTAATGATGACCATCAGCACATTGTGCATGCATGTTTAAGGGCTGTTGGTAGCAACTAAATCCCCTGTAGATGGAAAATTTAGCCGGTTCACTCTAAGTTCCGGATTTCTGAAATCCTGTATTTGTGGGATTTACGAAATCCATGGCTCTAGAGCTCGATAAATCTTGCTCTATAGCCAAACATTCACATGAGATTTAAGAGGATTTATCATGAATGTTACCAAACAATTTTTAGGATTTAAGTCCCTCAGGATTTCCAAAATCCGGATTTATAGGATATACGAAATCCTACTTAGATCAAATCCGGGGTGCTACCAAACCGCCCCTTAGGGTTTGGATATGGTATCGTCTGCAAATGGTTTTCCGATGGAAAGGAATTTATGGAATGGTGTGAGTTTGCTGTGCATATTGTAGTTGTAGTAAGAGCTCTGAATCATTATCATAGATGCAAACCATGCAACTTCTTTCTTGCAAAGTTAATGCATGCATATGAAAGCGTTGTGAATGATGCTTTTTGTGGTTGAAACACAAAAGAGGTCGGATCTGAAATTTTTTTTAAAAAAAAAAAAAATCTATTTGAATTGTATTGAGGGTGTTGGAGGTGATTATTCTTATATTGGAGTCAAAACTTAAATTGACAAGGCATTTTTTCTTGATAAAAACATGAGATGTGATTTGGCAAGACTAACTAACAAAATATAGAGAAGAAACAATGTTTTACTTTTGGTAGTTTTTTAGGTGTTTTTTCATGAATTATAGGTTGAGGACATATTTAAAATGTTAAAAATGATCAATTGATGAAAAAAAAAAAATTAATGTCATTGTAATGAGCTAATCTACAAAAAATATCTAGAACCGGCCCATGACCAAACTAGTTGTCTTTGTTGTCGCCTTTCTTCAAATTTCCCTCACATACGATATAAGAATTAGGATTAGGGATGTTCACATGCTTTATTTTCCCTCTTTTATTTTCCCCTACTACTTGATCCTCACATTTCTACATTACTCAAGTTGCAGATCGTGATTCTCCTTATCTTCCTCTTGTGTGCTCTGCTCTAACCTAGTTACAAGCCTTGAGTTGTAAGCTCCCTTCCACTCGATTACTCCTCACAGTTAATCAATTCCACCTCCCTCTTCAGTAGCTCCATTGGGTCCTCTTGAAGTATAATCCTCAGTCATATAGCAGCCCAAACTCTTAACTATCAAAATATTATCTGATTTGGCCTAATGTTCTTATAGTTTTATCCTCTTAATATAACTTCTTAGGAGGTCACTTATCGTATAAGTGAACCTATATGAGTACGCTAACTTTAGAGTTTCTAATGAAAATTTCATCTGTCACGCCAAATGAGCCTTGACATTTAAGTAGGGGTGTAAAAAATTGACACGACCCGAAACCCAACCCGGACCCGAACCAAAAAAATCCAGGTTTGGGTCAACCCGTTTGTGAAACGAGTCGGTCCGGGTTTGGATTTTCGACCCGTTTAAAAAATGGGTCGGGTTCGGGTTGACTTGAAAACCCGTGGTTCGACCTGATTTGACCTGGAAAATGGCTTCCATGGCATCGCTGTGCCGCATCTGGTCCGAAGTCCAAACCCACGTGTCGCGCTGGCCTTGACGCTTCATCTACCGCACTTGGCCACTGGCCTCGCCTGTAGCGAAGCCTCGAATGTCGAATAGATTAGGTTTCGCTGGTTGGGTCGGGTCAACCCGGTAACATAACCAGGTCGGGTCCGGGTTGGCAATTCAAACCCATTTATCTAAACGGGTAGGGTTCGGGTCAACCCGTTCACACTCGGGTTATAAATGTAGATCTAAGTTTTGATTAAGTAGATTTTGGCGATAGATTATATGATTAAGTTTATAATCACAGATTTAATGTATACGTCAAAAAAATAATATTAGTCAATTTAGATTAATTTTGGTTTAGTGATGCTTAATTATGATGCTACATTAGCTGAATGTTTTAGTTCGATACCTATATGTGTGTTTTTGTGATTAATTGGTAGTTTTTATTTTTTAGCTCATACTAATATTATTATATGTTGATGTGAAATAAGCTTTTATTAAATCATCATCATTAGCAGCAACAATAACAACAACATCAAACTTTTATACCACTACGTGTGGTTGGCTACATAAATCCTTTTTTCTCCATTGTATCCTATTAAGAGTGAAATTCTCATTTAAATCTAACAATGAAAGGTCATTTTTAATATTTTCTAACCATGTCATTTTAGGTTTACCTCTACCTTTCTTATCATAAGTCAAATCTAACACACACCTATTCTCTTAACCGGTTTATCAGAAGGTTGTTGTTTTATGTGACCAAACCATCTAAGGCGGCTCTCTCTAATCTTATCTTATGCTGGAGCTACTCCAACATTTTCACGTATATGCTCGTTTCGTATCCTTTATCTAAGAGTAAAGCCACTCATACACTTGAGCATCCTCATCCCTGCAACACTTAACTTAATATGCTTCTCTTTTAATAGCCAACATTCTACACCATAAAGCACTACAGGTCGCACCACCATCTTGTAGATTTTTTCCTTAAGTTTGAGGGGGACTTTTCTATCACACAATAATCCTGATGCATTCCTCCACTTCAATCATCCAACTTCAATTCTACTAATGATACCCCCATCTATTTCACCATCACTCTGAAGCTTTTATCAAATCACTTAAAAAATAATTGTTATAGTACTTCCTCATGACAATATATAAAATATGAGTGCTTCTGTCACATCCCATGTCCAAAAGAGCAATACAAGATGTAACGAAGGAATATTAAAATTTATTTTGTGCTTGTAAAAAAAGTTCATACACAAGTCATATAAACATAAAATATCAGAATAAGAAATATAAAATAAAGTAAAATTTCATTACATTACTATAATCATAATGAGAGTGCATTAATGAAATATGAACAATAATAAATGAAATATAAATAAACTATTACAAAAAATTAAAATTCTAAATAAGATCCTACTATTTATAAGTTGTCTCCAGTGGAATATTTATAATGAGTGAGTTTAAGAATTCAAGCTCAACAAGTAATTAGGGGTGTCAAAATCTGACCTGACCCAAAACCCGACCCAGACCCCCACATGAAAAATTTTGTGTTCGGGTTAACTCGTTTGCTATGCGGGTCAGGTTCGGGCATTTGCAAAACCTAAAAATACAATTTTTTCTTAAAAAATAATTATAGCGCCTTCCATCTTTAAATTTCATCTTCTAAATTTATATATTTTATTTTTTTCAGTCTGCTACAAATTTTATTACGATCTTCTTATGCAATTTTTTTTTAAATTTTTTTGCACCAATTAATATTGTGATTTTTGAAAGTTCATTAAATCTTCTTACTGTAAAGCTGTGAAGCTAGGTGAAGATGCGGGATGTGTAACACTCAGCTTCAGTTCATTTATAGCTTCTCTTAGTGTGTGTATATATATATATATATATATATATATATATATATTGTTGTATCTCTTGTATATGCATGTTCTCTTTGTGAATAAAAAACAGGTTTTCTTATCCCTTAATCGCGTCCCATGTTGTCAGGGTGTACCACCTTTCTGACCCGGGATGTGACAATAACTCATCAGTTATTTATTATTTATATATGTTTAGATATTTATAGTCAATTTTATCAAGATGCCTTTAATCTTAGAGTTCAACTCTATGATCCTGTTGGTTCGAATGGCTAATATCGAAGAGAGTTTTATTGACCTACATACAAGTATATCATTTTTATGTTTGTCATATGCAAATCTTGGTCGTCATCATCATCTATCACATCTATAATTCTCAAATCCTTATAATGGAATTAAACTCATTAAATTGTAATTTATTAGGTGTACAAACTTGCATTCATATCAACTACTATCTTTGTTTCTTATAAATTTATAAAGGTTTTTGCTCATGTACAAAGACTCCAATTGGATTTGCAATCCCTTTGTAGTAGTTCCTCAAAGACCATTGTCAAAACCTCATCTGTCAAACATATAGGTTCGATTATCTCATCCTTATGTTCTTCACTAATATACTTTGACATACTTGAATTTTGAACATCCCATAAGCGCTTTCACAAGTCTCCTTTAGATTAAGATGGCTTGCATCTTGATTCTCTAAATCCTGAAGTTCTTTTTGAGCAATCAAATTTCTTTATCTCATACTTCATTACCATTGTTTCTATAAAAAGGAAAAAGCTTCTGTTTTTTTTAGGCTAAAACGCCTATAAAAAATGAATACAATGGATGCACAAAATAATACCACAAGAGGAAACTAAAAGTTATGTGGTTTGGTAAATAACCTACAGAGTTGTACGAACAGAATGCATATAATAAAATGTTCTTCCCTACACTCTTTTACACCTAATCTCACTACAATAGAAGCCTCAAATCTTTCAAGAAAGCTGCGACCCAGCAGGACGTCTTTCTATAGTTTTTCTGTGGCCTACTGGGGACTATAGACTCAAGATGGAGAAATCCAAAATGTCATGGGAAGAGAATCTTTAGAAGTATTAAAGAAGAAAAATGTACTTAACGACCTACTTGGGACTATAGACTCAAGATGGAGAAATCCAAAATGTCATGGGAAGACAATCCTAGAAGTATTAAAGAAGAAAAATGTAC